TTAGTCGGCGTTTAACTAGATTTACGTAGTAGTTGAGATCCTTCGATGATGAAGTAAAACGCCAGATAATCAATTAAAACTTTTATTCATTCGTTACACTTCCTGCTCCATTGACGTCGTTTGATCTGTCTGTTCACCTTTTGCCCTTCAACTTGTCTTTCTGTCGCTCACATGCCCTCTTTGTCACACTTCCGTTCCGTTCCGATCCATGACAAAATCCATTCCCACATTTATCTACAGCAAAAGTACAGTAGAAACGCTAAACCGTCACAACGGATCGGCTATAGTAACCACAAGTGTAGAACAAAGTCGAAACCTACATACGAATTTTTTCACAAGATAATATAACACTTTCAGTTATGGTGACAATGCAGTACTATTGCCAGTCCTGATATTTCACCCGGTTTTAACGATATCAAGTATGTTTTAAAACACTAAAATGAGAAATATCAACCAATATCTCACAGGTATACAGGACACAATTCTGACAGACAATAAAAACAACTGCAACGAGTGGCCGTGAACCGGAAAATTGAAGAGTGAAGGGAAATAAATATTAAGAATTCCAGTCGCAGCTGGAAGCGAGCAATAACGGCGGAGAGCTGTGGGGTCAGTGATTTATATGCTGGATGTCGCCCTCGCATTGGAGGGTTCGATTCTAACGCGTGTCAGAATATTACCAACCTTACCCCAGCGTAACTTTTAGGGTGGGTGTGTAATAATTTTCTTCATTTATTACTAACGTTTTGTACGTAACGCATTATAAGATAGTCAAGGTATTATATTGTGATATTTTTATTTTATTCTAGCTGTTGCCCGCGACTTCGTCCACGCAATACTAAGATAAAAAGTAGCCTATAATATGCCCGTCTATGTCAGCTACCCTTCAGTGAGAGTTCGGTCGAAATCGGCCCAGTCGTTTCGGAGATTGCCAGGATCAAACGCGACTTGCGGACACAGACAAAAAAAATTAAATGCAATTTTCGTTATCAGCAACGCAATTATATCTTTTTCTCGAAATCTGAAATGTTTCTTCTGATATTACAAATAGACACTCTAATTTTATTATTTGTATAGAAAAGAATGTCAACTTGTTCTATGGGTGCTTGCTTTGAACAGTAAAGATGACTGAAAATAAAATAAACATTCAATCTTTTTTATTGTGTAACATTTATTACGCGAACATTAAACATTAAAAAACAAACTAAACATGTCGCAGTCATTATAAAATAGAACTCGGAGCTTTGTTATAGAAAAATGTTGAGCTGCTCCCATAACCCAATTCTCGTGTAGCCACACAATAAACCCAACATTAACAGCCGTAAGGTCGCCTTACTTTCTACTTTATAGATAACCTATTTATAAAAAAAAACTAAACAAGTCATAATTCCTTTTAACAATGTCCTGTTAGCATTTTCCTTTTATCAATTATGCGTTATTCACGTTTTTGCCCAACACAGGTTTTTAATTCTTAAAGGTCAGTTAAAATTATTTCACATAATTACTGCATGGATTCAACCAGGCTTTTGACTTACAAGCAAAATACTGAATCTGGTTTTGATGACTTGCTTCAATGATGTATGACGCAAAATTATTTTTATTGCTTGACCAATTTCATTACAAATATACTTTTTTACAGTAAACAGCAGCTCTTTAAGTCAGTATTTTTAATTATACTATTCATACTAATATTATAAACGCGAAAGTTTAGATAGAAGTATGGATGTTTGTTAGAGTTTGTAGCCTAAGCAACTTAACGGATTTCGATAAAATTTGGTATAGATGTAGAGGATAATCTGGAAGGACACATAGGCTACTCACTTTTTTTTTAATTATAAAATTTAAAACACATATCATAGTATCAGTAATCCTTTCGACTTCATATTCTTACATAAAATGTCTTCGTATTTATTATTTTGTATATATCAAAGAGACGTTTTAATAAGAACTAAAACATACATTTATATCTCCTACGTTTACGTTAAGATAAAAGGTAAACTTAAGATCCTTCAAAAAGATTCAGTAATCCTTTGAAAGTCCATCCACAGACCATAATCCAGTGAAGCCATCCTCATTTCTCTATGGATATTTTGTAGGCGGATTTCTTTGAAACTGCACAGAATCGTAATTAGGTTAATAAACTAGTGCAGATGTTTATGTGAGTTGTTTCATTTGTTTAAAAGCTTCACAACCTACAAACTCATAATAAATACTCAGGAATATATCATAACATAACACCCCTCTGTCGCCAAATGTTAGTGCCATATGGCATCTGCATGAAACGTAAACCTAAAATTCCTACAACAGTACAACAAAAAGCAACTAATTTTCACTATTATATGACCTACACTTCTATACTAATACTAGCTTTCGCCCGCGACTCTGTCCGCGTGGAATTTAAAAAAAAATGAGTGGCCTATGTGTTCTTCCAGACTATCCCCTACATCTATACCAAATTTTATCGAAATCCGTTTAGCCGTTTAGGGAACCAACTAACAAACATCCATTCATCCATCTTAACTTTCGCATTTATAATATTAGTATGAAGTATGATTATAAACATGAAAGATTTGTATTATTGTATGTATTCAATTAGATTCACGTGAAAACTTGGCCGATTTTAAAATTTCTTCCGCCATTACAAAGGTGAGTAACATAGTATGTTTTTATTTGTTAATTTCACGCGTACAAAGTTGCGAGCAACAGCTAGTTATTTATATCTCTAATTGTTATAAATAACTAGTTTTAAACACGGGGTTAAAATAAATACCCGACTGCCGATATTCGGCTAACCACCTTAATAGAAACCTCCACAACTCAACTGCAAATGAATTACATTTACGTGAAAAATATACGAGAAATAGTTAAGGAGAAATAGTTTTGAAGCTGCTGACTGCTGTACGTGTGCTTGTTATCAAGCTATGTTCTTCATAAACATATTTGTAATAAAATTTATTACGTTATCGGAAAACAAGTGACCTAAAAATGCATCCCGGATATGCAATATCTATTTAATATTCATACGAACGTGTAACTATTGGACACACACAAAAGCTTTTATCTAAAAGCTTTATAAAATCAACTTATCGTCGATTATTGTAGATTAGTTTCGCCCGCGACTCCGACCGCATGGAGTTAAAAAATACAAAAGTAAGTAACCTATGTGTTCTTCCAGACCATCATCTACATCTATGCCAAATTTCATCGAAATCCGCTCAGCCGTTTAGGCTACAAACTCTAACAAACATCCATCTAAACTTTCACATTTATAATATTAGTATGAAGTACGATAAGTGCCAGTATAAGTCAAAATTTATAGTTTTTAGACATAGATCAAAACCGAAAGAAGACTAGTTTTTACTAGTTTGCGTGAAATTCGTGGTTTCTCTAAAGGAATTTTGTTTCCTGATGTTTAAATTCCATTAAGTCCAGTGTGTTTGTTGGTCAAGTAAATTATCGAGCGTGGTAACGCGTTCAGCTTTTGTAGCTTTCTTGGCGATCACGATTCTTGATAAAAAAAATTATTACACCATAACAACTTTACGAAAATATCACAAACATAATATCCGAAAACATTAATCATCTAAAATTTAAACTCTTATTTAAAGGCATATCATTTACGGAATATTGACAAAAAATTCGCAAAATTAAATTAGTTATCCCACCCCAAGTCGACAATTATGGCTTCTTAGGAAATACGGTTTACCAAGAAATTAATTCCCCTTCTCGCGGAAGCTATATTCCGGTCGCATTAAATTAAAAAAAATATGTATCGAAAACTACACACTCATCTATAGCCTTCTAATGTTATAAATGTTAACTGTAAATAATTTTAATTGCATTTTTGAAATGTGGTCAAAATATTCTAGTCTATGTTGTATTTTAAATTTAATTGTGTTTTTTTTTAATTTAGGCTTAGATAAAGTGATATAAACTGTGATAGATAGAAATAAGATTTTAATGTAAATTTATGTTTTAAGTTAAAAATAAAGAAATAAAGATAAACCCGCTCCCCAGGTTGCTAACTTAAAATGTGTTAGGGGGACAAGAGAGTGGCATGTAGCCGTTAAAAAAAATGTTATAAAAGTAAATACTAACCGAAGTATGAATTACATACAGAGATCAGAATGTCACAGATCAAATGTACATGGAGGATGTTGACTTCATCCACAGCAGACATTTATTCCACAGACAACCCCATGACTATAAACATCATTTTTTTATTTGTTTTTTTTTTTTAAGAAAATCAATTTTATCCTAACACATTCCACATTTTTATTTGAACCGTGACTTTCTGATCAACCTTGTAGAATAAAATAAAAGCTTGCTTCACACACTGCTGCTGTTTTATATAATTTTTTTTTATAATATAACTGAATTACTACTTCTGGAACCCTCTTACATATTTATAACTCTCTCATTGTCTTAAAAATAAATAACTACCAGTACATTTATCTATCTTATACTAGGCTAGCACTCAATCACCTCTCATGGACGGACATTTTTTTTTTAATATCAAATAGCTAGTTCTAGAGATGATACCAGAATGCACTTATGTTACTTTAAATGGGTTCAAAGAATATAAATTAGACAATTCTGTCTTTTCCATATGCTATCCTGAAAATCAAAAATATTCTTATTTACTAAAAAAAATCGAGAAATAATTAAAAAAAATCTATGCTTTCAACCCTTAATTTAAATTCAATATTTAACTCAAAATAATTTTTTTTACAGAATTCAAAGCTATAGAAATTTGAACTTTAGCAGAAAAATAAACTATGTAATTAACTAGAAAAATAAACCTAACAATCTACGATCGGGGATCACCCCTCCACCTCCTTAGTTAAAGGGTCGTAAAATAAACGATCGCGTACATGAACACACCCGCATAAATCCAGTTACAAAATCATTTCTTTAGGTCTAACATTGAATTAAAATACGAAAAGCAAGTCATGCATTAGCTTTATAAGATACCGAAGGTTTCCTACATGATAACTTACCTTCGAAATACATAAACGTAAAATAAAGCAACGAAGTAGTCAAGACCCGGTACAAATCCTTGCACAACCACAGAACTCAAATTCTATACCAAGAAACTACACAAACACTGGACTTCACATACAAGTAAGTGAAATATAAAGGGAGAGTTTATTTCTCAAACAAATTGTGTGAGAAAATTGTTTGAAATCAGTCATGAAAAAGAAAATGTGTAGCATTTCTCTTTTTAAGTATCTGAACACAGTTAACACGACCTCCACTTAAAAAATCTTTATAAAACTAAAAACATTATAGGTGGCGCCACTGTCGTTATTTGGCGCAAGCGCTGTCAAAAAAATAAATAGAGCAACAAATCGAAAAAAAACTCAAGTTGAATACAATTTTTATATTTAAAACTATGAAAACATCACAAATTGCAATACTATAAATGACATGTATTTGTTTTGTGAAATAATAACACTATTTTAATAATAAAAACGTTACATATTTAAGAAAAGTTCTATGATTCTCAGTCTTTGATTTGAATGACAAATGACGGGATTGACAATGACATTGCATTTCAATTAATTTTTGTTGATAAATAGTTTCATAATCCTTTAATTTCCTGGTAAACCAAAATTAAATATACAAAATGTTAGATAATGTTAAATCTGTAATACTAGTTTTATCCGGGAAAGGCGGAGTTGGTAAATCAACAGTAAGCACGCAGTTGGCACTTACTCTTAAGGAAAGAGGATTTAAGGTTAGATTTTTGTTATGAAATGTCTACTACTGAAAGTATTCACCCAATACATTTATTTCAGGGCAAATTCGTTTTTTCATTAATTTATATCATGTTTAAGATAAAATTAGAGGTGGAAATTTTAGCCTATGGATTTATTCTACCAAAGGTGTACTAACAAAGGTTTTTTTCAGGTGGGTCTCCTGGATATAGATCTATGTGGTCCTAGTGTGCCACACATTTTAAATTTGGAAAACGAGAATATCCACCAAGGCCCAGATGGTTGGGTGCCAGTTTATTTGGATAAGGAACAGAGATTAGGTGTTATGTCAATTGGCTTTCTTCTAAAGTCTCGCAACGACGCTGTTGTTTGGAGAGGACCGAAGAAAACTGCAATGATTAAACAGTTTCTAGAAGATGTATATTGGCAAGATCTTGATTTCTTAGTAATTGATACTCCACCAGGTTAGTATTTTAAATAAACTGATATACTTAAATAACAGTAAATAATTTCTGATGAAGTTATATTAAATTTAACTAAATAGCAAGATATTACATAATAGTACATTGAAATCTGAGGAATTATACGTTATTGGATTGTGGAATTGGTTGGGAAGGGAAAATAGATCAAACTGCGCAGGAGGTGCATAGGAAGGGAAAATATTCTCTTTGCATGAGTCTCCTCCACCGTCAATTAAGGGTAGGCAATCATCTACAATTAAAATTGTCTATGGGCAGGTATCGCTTTTTCTGTTTTGGCAGATTCAGGTGGCCGCTTGCTTGCACCTTATGATATAAAAAAAATAAAAGTTCACTCAAAACTATACTTATTTGTGGCTAAACCTACTTATTGATCATTCTAATTAAATGTTTAAGGCACATCAGATGAGCATATAACAGTAATGGAGAATCTTCGTCAAATACCTCAATGTTCAGCAATCATAGTAACAACACCACAGGAGGTAGCCATTGAGGATGTCCGGAAGGAAATCACATTTTGTAGGAAAACTGGAATACCAATCTTTGGTATTATTGAAAATATGAGTGGGTGAGTAACACATAACTTTAAGACTACTTGATGTAGATAAAATATGTATTGCAAAATAGAATGTGTATACGTGTGTACGTGTAGAAGTTACATGTAACCATGTAACTTCTAAAAAAATTAAAATTTGGTAACTTCATTATCAAAGAATAAAAGTAAAACAGAGACTATCTTAAGAAAATGTATTATCCCACAGTAATCTGTTGAATATTTCAATAGCTCTTACATAAAAAAGGGTCAGGATCCTGTAGATAAACAATGAAAATTGATTTATTTGGATAACACCACAATATGTAAGAATAGTGATAAATAAATAAACTAATATGAAAGATGACCACATGCTTTAATTACTTTCTTTATTCAAAACTTAAATTGTAAAAAGCAAAATTGTAGCTTACATTAGTCCTCATTTACTCTTACCTATGAAATTTCTTTCAGATATCAATGTCCAACATGTAACGAATGTACAAATATATTTTCAAGTGGCGGCGGGAAGTCTTTAGCAGAGATATCTAAGCTGCAATTCCTTGGTACCATACCTATAGACCCTCGTGTTGGTAAACTTGCAGGACAAGGTCTGGCTGCAGTAAAGGAACTGCCTGACTCAAGTACTAGTAAAGTGTTCAATGATTTAGTTACTGCATTCGCTGAATCAATACAAAATGGTTCATGAATTTACTATGTAAGCATTATTATAACATGATATACAGATTATGTCTTCCGTTTTAGTTGTCTATGGGCATCATCAGATCTAAAAATAAACAAACAAATCACGAATATACATCTCGTGTTATTATATTATTATATATTATTGTAAATAACCGTAAATATAATATACAGGGTGTTGGGGAAAGTCATGTCCAAACGACTACCACAAATTCCTTAGTCGAAAATGTGACGATCTACGAAATACTCAAAAAGATGTAGCTCAACAAACAGAAACCATGGTTTTTTGTAAATTTTATTGATAATCAATAAAATTTATAAAAACCCCTTTTAGTGACATTTGAATAAATGATAAATAAATCACAAACTTTAGAGCCCTCTAGCGCCCAAACGAATATGCTTTGGGTAGAGGTTATTTGGATCAAAACGTCATATTGTTGACCAAGGAATCTGGTAGTCCATTGTACACATCTTTCCTCGTACACCCTGTATAAGTGTAATGTAAGTGGGTTGTAAGGAAAACATTAGCATTATTAAAATGTAACACATAATATATTATTAAGAATAATGTAATCATTCCTGTGTTGAATTTGTTTTTTGTAAATATTTCAATAAAATAAAATTGTTTAAAAATCAGAGGAAGTATTATTATTATTTTTTTCTATTATTTTAAAAAAGTAAGATTGATATAATCAGTATTTTAACCAAAGGCAATCCAAAAAGGTATACTGAACGAAATTTTTCACCGGTACTTTCCCTCAAAGGTACTACATCAGTTATCAAGCATGTGTCATAGTATTGACATGTAAGAAAACGTTTTGCAAAATTATGAAATAAAACAACAAAATATTGACATGGCTTTATTTTATAACAAACAAAAGATGGAGCTTGTAATATTGTAAAATGTTTAATTACATGTTAATACAAGGAAACGAGGTGCCATATCATTGTTAGATATTTCCATAAATGACTCGGCCATATTAACAATACTTGTATATTACTTGTAAAACACACAAACTGAACTCCAATGTGACAACGCAAATATATCGAACGTTCCGTTGTGACGACTAGTAAAACACTGAGCGCCAAAACTGCGACTGAGCCCGAGCCACTCCTTGCCATATAAAACTACCCCCCACTATTCCTTCCGTTTGCTAATATTTTCCTAACAATATCGTTTTAAATAAAAATAAATGTATTGATAAATAGCACAGATTAACAAATAACTTTTAAGAATACAGAACACATCAATAATAGTTAAAAAGCTAACATAGTACCTCTCAGAGAAAGTACCGGTGAAAAAATTTGCTCAATATGCCTGTATATTATGTTATATTTTTAATGTACATGTAAATAAAGAAATATTGAAATAAAAGCCCAATCAAGGATAAACCTTTTTATTATTTTTTACATCACACATTAATCTAAACACACGCTGAATATCAAAATATTAGGTAAATACTTTGGAAATATTTGCATAAATATAATATATCTATAAATACATTTAGATTTCTTTAAGAACTTTAAAATTTATAAACAAACAAATGAATGTAAAAAAAATAAACTTCTTCATACCCTGTTTCTTTGGAATGATGTTATTGTACTTTGTAGAGTCTTCATTCAATGTTTTTTGTAGATATATTTTTGTTGTTTATTAACATATCTCTTTAAAAAATAGTTTTTATTTTTTATTTCACTTGATGATAATAAAACTTAAACCAAATCAAACTTAATAAAACAGTAAAATATTCTATAAATATAGACGAATAGTTTTACAGCCATCAATTATGTCAAAATTCAACTCATTAAATGTTATATATTCATATTACAATATTTAAAAAAATACACCAATATTAGATACAAAAAAAAATCTGGCTTATAATTGATTTATTATTCGAGATACATATTTTATCTTACATAATATAGGCGAAAATATACCACTACCATGAAAGCAAAAATAGGTAGAGAACACTTAAAACAAAGCTACGTATGGTTTCCGACTTTATGACGGTAGCAATAAAGTGGTATTTAGTTTAAGAGGTGCTGAGCTCAGACTCGGTGTCGTCGTTGAGCCACATGAACTGACGTATCTCCTCCTCGGAGGAGGGGCAGCAGTGCGGCGGAGCCTTCTCCAGGATCCTACGCAACTCCTGCAGACATTTATTTATTTAATAAAAATAAAAAAAGAATTATCAAAATCGGTCCACTAGCGGCGGAGATATGCCGTAACACCATTAAAAAAACATACAGACGAATTGAGTACCTCCTTCTTTTGGGAAGTCGGTCAATAAAATAGATTAAGTTTATTAATTTCCCCTTTGGAGGCTGATGTCTAAACTAGGGTATCCTGTGTGATTTGTTTAATGAAGTATTTAAATAAATAGGGAAAAAAAATTAAAACACTTAAAAGCAGTTAATCGCGTACAATCGGGGAATTTGTCGGTGTTATTAAACGCTACAGTCGTTGGAAAATCGATTGAGATGACGCAGAACAACGTTACTAATATAAACGGTAATGGATGTTTGTTAGTTTGTAGTCCAAACTGCTGAACGGATCTAGAAGGAACACATAGGCTTTTTACTTTTTTTTCTTTTGAATTCAACGCGGACGCAGTGGAAGACGAATATAGTATCTATAGTCTATAATAACCAATAGGGAGCAGTTTTGAAATCTGTCTGTATGAAAAAAATACATTTTAATTATCCCATCGTTTACCCAACACAGTGGTTCCTTATTAAAACTTTCGTAAGACATTATACCACATTAATTTGAAACAGGTGGGTTACGTGACAATTTTCGGTTTAGGCACCAACCAGTTTCGGAATTAATATCAGTGGTACCTAATTGATTATTTGTAAGGTGCGTTTGTTTTAATACTGTACACCGCGAAGTTCCTTGACTGTACCAGTAGTGTGTAGTGTGTGTGTGCGTACCTTCATGTTGTTCCTGTTGCGCGCGGCGGCGTCGAGGTGGTTGAGCATGGGCGCGGGGTAGTGCTGCCCGATGACGCACTCCGCGCGCTCCTGCACGTCGATAGGAGCCTTCCACGGCTCGTATCTACAAATTATAATCACGTTAATGTTTTAAATACGAAAGTTTAGATGTTTGTTAGAGTTTGTAGCCTAAGCGGCTGAACGGATTTCAATGAAATTTGGTATAGATGTAGAGTATAGTCTGGAAGAACATATAGGCTACTTATTTTTTATTTTTTTCATTTTGGCGGACGGAGTCGAAGGGGGGGTGCTAGTATTTACATATTATACCCGATGTTCTTATAATGAAGGAAAACAGGATGCAACATATCGGCGAAGAAATTAAAAGACAGGCCTAGTCAGCCTAACTAAGGGTAGGCTCTAGCTCTTTGGGACGCGTCGAGAGAAAGCGAAAGCGATCCCATGGAATCCCACATAAAGGCCAAGAGGGAACAGAAAGGTTTAGTGGGTATTCCCTTTATATGAGAATCCCACATAACTGTCGTGTCTGGCTCGAGGCAAGCATTGCCCTCTGAAAAGAAGACTCCAGCTGTTCGGGGCTGCAGAATGCGGCGGCGGGCGTGTCTCACATGTAGTCGACGGGCACGCGCGCCAGCTCGGGCACGTAGCGGCGCACGTACTCGCCGCCGGGGTCCAGGCGGCGGCCGAGGCGCACGGGGCACGCGCACTCGCTGGAGTCCAGTAGCGCCTCGAACGCCGACGACGACACCCACATCCAGTTGCCCGCGCACACCGACCTGCGCACACCTACCTCTCACTTCTGTCTCCTCTTCTGTCAACAGCTTCACAAAATATATTTACATATTTTGTCAAACTCTTGACTTGACCACGACTATGTGACCCCCTCTAGCGCCAAAACTTGATCCACCCTTGTCTGTAGCCTAATTGGAAATCTATTTAATTTTATTAAAAAGACTGCGTATATAAATCTAAAAATATGCGATTTTTCAATTCCTGTTTACAAGCTGGATTGGTTTCGGGTAATCTCAGAAAAGTATGGACTGATTTTGACGATAGTGTGATGCGAGGTTATCAAGGAAGTCGCGGGCGACCGCTAGTGTCAAAATCGATGATGTCTGTCAATATAATATTACAAGACCCTCGTGTCATTCGCAAGCTAGAGTAAAGCGATGATCAATATTGGCTGGCTAACACTTTTTTAATCCGAAAATGTCTAATTTTTAACAAAGAACTTCCGAATCAAGTTACAAGTTACAGTTATCTATGTTTTACAATGTTGGACACTTGGAAGGGAGAGTAGAGTAGAGCACAGACCAGTCGGCGTCGAGCAGGTACTTGAGGAAGTGGTTGAGGCCGTGCTCCCAGGAGAGCCAGAGCGTGCCGCGCGTGAGGAAGGAGGCGACGGTGTTGCGCAGCACGTGGTGCAGCCAGCCCTCCGCGCGCAGCTGCCGCATCGCCGCGTCGATGAACGGGAACCCCGTGCGCCCCTCCACCCATCTGCACATAGGACACGTAGTGCACATAGTACACATAGTACTCGTAGATCACTTAGTACACATAGTACACATAGTACACATAGTACACATAGTACACATAGTACACAGTACACTTCGAGCACATAGTATACATAACATACGTCATAAACATCGTACACATTTCAAACCAGAATCTATCTCATATTATAAATACGAATGTTTGAATGGATAGATAAATGTTTGTTACTACGTATCTCCAAAACAAATTAACGTATCTCGATAACAATTGTCACAGATGTAGAACCTAATTTGGGAGAAGTCATAGGGTTTTTTGGATTCCTTTTTTTAATCCCGCATGGATGGAGTCGGTGGCAAAAGTAATAAAGATAAGATTACCTATTCAATTCATCCCCCTCCGGGTTCTTCCAGGGAATGTCGAGGCAGATGGGGTTGCCGCTCATCTGGCCATAGTTGGGGTTGTTGACGCTCATCGTGTAGAAGTATTCGCGCCAGATCAGCTGACCTGCGTAAACCAAGACAAGTATTAAATAAACTGCCTTTTACATATGTTATTGAATATTTTTACGTTTGGTCCTTCGAGTCGGATTAACATTAGAATAGTTACCTGTAATAAACTGACTGCCCGAGAGTCGTCCCTGGTGCACTTGCTGGAACAAATCTTGTACAGCCCAATAGAATCTGTCAAAATATAAAAGTTTAGATGGATGGATGTTTGTTACTACGCATCTCTAAAACAATTTACCAGATATCTATTAAATTTAGTACAGATCTAAAACACAAACTAGGCAAAGTTTTGATTCCGTGTGGTCGTAGTCACGGAATTTACAATGTTTTATTTGAAAAATTACTTGAACTTAAATTAATTTTGATATAAATAATTATTTCTTATAAACTGACCTACGAACAGACAGACATCCGAAGCGCAGCGCGGGACTGAGCGATATCGGTGGGCCCAGAAGGTCCGGGTTGCCGTGAGTGGGGAGGTACGAGCCCCTGCAAATATATGGTTAAAAGAAGATCGCTTTCTAAAATATGGCATTCATCGATAATAATGTAGTGACTGAGTTTAGTGTAAGTTGAAGGAGTGAAAAGTTAGCATGGTATGGGCATGTTATGAGGAGAGATGAATCGCACGTTACAAGGAGAACGTTAGCTATGAGTGTGGAAGGGTACACCGGTAGAGGTAGACCTAGAAAGAGATGGATTGCTTGAAAGGTTACATTAAAAAGTAAAATGACGGATGTTAGAGTTATTTGGAGGAGGAAAACCCAGTGCGCCCTACGGAGTAGTATAAGGTAAGGAGATATGATTGTGATGAATTGTGAGTGCAGTAAGTACCTGCAGAAGGTCTCGTACTCCACACGCAGTCGTTGCTGCATCTGGTGCAGCGCGGCAGACTCCCCGCCCACCCAGCGGATCATGCGGATATCTTCGCGCTCCAGATGCACGCCCAGATCTTCCGGCTTTGGCACCTGCATGAATCATCATATCTTCCTCCTTATCCTATGTCAGAGATATTGGTCCTCCACATAACTCTATCATCCGTCATCTCAGTTCCTCCCTTCTTGATCATGTCACCTTTCACGCAATCTATCTCTTTCGAGGTCTACATCTACCGATGTACCTCCACACTGCCTGAATCATCACATTAGAAATATTGTTTATTTAGCTATTGATATCTAGAATTTTGTTCTGTACAATCTAGTCAGGGATAATCAATCGTTAAGTTCAAATAAATCTTATCAATTCTCACTTTATCGAAGAACGTAAACTCCTGGTGGAAAGAGTCAGGCAGGATGCCAAAGTTGACCCCGGTGAGGTCCAGGTCGCTGACTGGACGCGGCGGGTCTCCGATCGTCGACACAGTATGCTAAAATTTATAAAAACTATCAATACACAAGCTTACCAATACTATAAAAGCTAATCGTAGATTTTAGCTGAAACAACTGCTTTACAAGTTTAACAATACAGTTTTGTAGGAGTGTTTCAGCAATGAAAACTAACCAGAAACATCTGATAGGTCAGCGGTGGGATTCCCCCGTTGTATCTAATGACGGTGTCGGGCTCCCACAGCGTGTGCGACACGTGCTCGCGACACACCACCCCGGTCTCGCGACACGCCGCCTTCACCTTGTCGTCGCGCGCGCGCCACACCGGCTCGCAGTCCTGCTCGAAGCACAGCTTGCTTATACCTGCAATTTTTTTTTCTTATATCATAATCACTTGCGAGCAATTGGTTGAGTTGTTAAAAAGATAGTAGGCGCTAATTTAGTAACAGCTTTATGGCTTAAAGGCAACTCATGATGGATGAAAACTATCTCAAACAAATTGATTCTTACCAAATTCTTCCCAAAGGCGCCTGATGATGACATGCGGCGTACCCTTCACCATGATAAGACGGCCGCCGTACTTCTTGAACTGGTTGTCCAGGTCCTCGAGCGCTTCCAGAAGGTACCGCATGCGGTTGTACCCCACCACCTTCGTGCCTACGTTATGATTGATTAATAAGATGGGAACTTAGAAAATCTGCTAATCCAAACCGAACAAGACGCAGCTTATTACTTTGTTGTCATAGATTTTCTATTAAATCTACCATCAGTATCATACATGTCATCTTTTATAGTTCTTCGTACCTGCAGTTTCTCCATCAAAAATAAACAACGGGAAGAACGGCACGGTCTTGTCTTCCAGCGCGCTGTGCAGCGCCGGGTTGTCATGCAGTCTCAGTCCGTGCCGGAACCACAACGCGCTACCTCCCAACATTCTTTTAGATCTAGAAAATATTTCCATTTAAATCATCAGACCTGCATACAGTAATGTTAATACACTACGTGTCGAATCAAGAAATTTAAATTTTAGCAAAACAAAAGGAAACTTACATCAAGTCGATTGTATTTCAACTAAATCCGATCACACTAGGCGACCTCTCTACGTCCTTATTGTCAATTACCATAATTTACTTGTATCCAAAGAGTATGAACAATAATATCGTGTCTACTCTAAATTCAATCCTCATTAAATAAACAAGAAGGAAATATTATCCTTCCAAGCGAAAACTTAAAGTAAAACAATAGCTAACTTCTAATATATACAATCGTCTAACTTAACGTATTACGTAACGTTTGTTGGCTTAGCAAACATAGGTCTATACCTAGCTAGGTATAACCGCATATACACGTTTGTGTGAGTACAGTAAACGGTTAGCTTATCGGCGTAGATTACTTGCAGAACGCAGTACGGTGTATGCAATTTATGTCACAGTACAGGTTACGTAATTTTACAATGAAATATAATAATAGTTGATTTAGCGTTATCTATGAATGTTATTGTTAAGCTACATTAAAAAATATATATCAACTAGAGTTCATTAACATCAGATATTCAGCATTAATTACTCGAAATGCCTTCCACCACTTACTCCGTTTAAAATGCAGCCTTCATTTGTTTGTAAATTCCAATTGAATTTAGTAAAATAATGTTAGTGGGCGATAATAATCCTAATCCTAATAATCCTATCATCTATACATATAATAAAATTGGAGTGTCCGTTTGTACTTTAAATATAAAATTCAAGATCTCGGGAAGATAATGTATCGCATTAAAATTTTTTTGTCTGTAATCTTCTAAACGTCTGTAATCTTCGAAACGGCTGGAAGATTTCGACCGGACTTCTGCGAAGGGTATGTGACATAGACAACAGCTAATCACTAAATAAAATAAAATAAATATCCCTGTCTTATTCCACTTCCGTATTGTCGGCGCCAACTTTTCGTCATACAATTTAATCTACCTTCCGCCATCTCAATCGTCACTCCATTCTGGATCATGTCAACTTTTACGCTTCCTATCCATCTCTTTCCATTTACCTCTCATGTAATTGGTTGCATGTAATTTATTTTTGCAGACCAAGTATTAATGACCCCTGATCCAAGTCGCATATCAATCATATGCCTACACACACGTGCACACCGAGGGGCATAAATTGTTTGCATCTCTTGAGCTCGTGACCCGTATACCTAATACTAAACGTCTCGATTGCACACAAGGTGAATTAGGTTTATTCCACTCTGATCACTATTATATGAAGTAACATTTCATCACATTTGACTTATTTTACCCAGGTAAGATAACCTAAATGAAAATTGGATCAATTTCTAATCTTACTAATATTATAAATGCGAAAGTTTAGATGGATGTTTGTTAGAGCTTGTAGTCTAAACTGTTGAACGGATCTCGATGAAATGCATAGATGTCGAGGATAGTCTGGAAGATCACATTTGTTATTTTTTAATTCCACGCGGCTGGAGTCGCTTGCAAAAGCTAGTTCATAATATTCGAAATCGTCTTATAACTCAACTATTAAAGCTTTATTAAAGCACTTTTATCGCTATTAGTTACGGCTAATAAGCAACCATTTTAAGGTTAGGCTTTGTTTGAGGCATAATTAAATCTATAATCCTATTGATAATTATATAAATAGAATTTGCTAAACACTTCTGCAGTTGAAGCTTATAGAGAAAACAAATGCTGTCAAACGCAGCATTGTTACGTGCATTCACACAGGCGATGTTAATATTTCACCAACGCTAGAGCACTGCAGTTGACACTTGTATTAATATACAGTGACGTCTCTTTCATACACTCTGTGAATACAGAGACAACAATATATACAAGTGTCAATTGCAGCTGGAACCCAGTTATAGTTCTTTTCAAATATCTCGACCGCCCGAGGCATCGGCAAATGATTTGTCTCCCCCCGTATACCGCTAAAATTTTGCTCTACGCAGACCCTTTTGTGAAGTTAAGAGCTACCAAGATATTTGACTACAACTATACATGTTTAGTGACAATGGTGACGTATTTGGGATTATTTTCACTAACAGGATAACCGTGTACTTAAACTGTCGTAAAAATTGTATAAAACACTAGCTTTCGCCCGCGAATCCGTCCGCGTGGTATTAAAAAAACAAAACCAAGTAGCCTATATGTTCTTCCAGATATCCTCTACATCTATGTCAAATTTCATTGAGATCCGTTCAGCAGTTTAGGCTACAAACTCTAACAAACATCCATCCATCCATCTAAACTTTCACATTTATAATATTAGTAATTATGATTGTTGCCTCGATTTCTTCAAATGAAATTAGAATATTTTTTACCGGCTGAATATTAAAACGAATCTTTAATACTTTGCTCTATTACCGCCGCTTGCAATCTGACTGAAGTCGATTTTGTTAAATTTGGAGTTAAAACGTGGCCTTATGATTTAACAACAAATTAATCTTTCGTTTTTTATCAAAGTTCGTTCTTTAATTATAAATACAAAGACATTCCATTAATTGGTAGCGATTGCGCAAAGTCCAAGTTAAGGCCTTACAAGTGCTCTGATATTTCATTAATTTTTTACGTAATTTGTATTATTCCAGTCCAATCTAGTTCTAGATTACGACTGGAATAATGTTAACCCACACAGCGCACTGCGAGGTGGTTTTAAATTTTTGCAGATGTAATCCAGTGTTAAATTTTGTCGCTGGATTGGAATAATGTAAACTGAGCATTATAAAGAAAAAAATATTTAACGAGTGATCAAGTAACATTTTGTTTCTTATAGCTTACAAATTATTAGTTACTAAATTCTATTTAGAGCCATACTCATAGTCTTGATCGCTAAGTGAACCTCTTAGTTGAGATTCAGTAAGCAAAAACTTAAGCAACCATTAAATATATCTAGGTTGTTTTTTAGGATAATGGTTATGCACCAAGGGCATTGAAAATTTAAAATGGAATCATTTCCCGTTTACCGTTTCTTTTTAAGATCTGTGCAAAAAGCACAGAATTCAAACCGTAAATCATAATATATCGTATAAAACTTAAACGGTGGAAAGGAAATATGTTTTTTAATTCAAAAAACAGAAAACGCAATTATGCAATATAATATACTCCGTGAAGAAAATCGAGAAGTAATAAAAAAAAACTTACTTCAATTAGACGCCTGTCCGGTAACTAATTTAATTAGGAACTCAGTTCGCATGTCAGAACGCAACGGCTTCTGAAAGCGAACTGAAAGCTCCTGACGACAATCCGTAGTTCGTTCCGTACCTACGCTGAACGCAACGAACGTTCTGGAAACTTTCCCGAGTATCCAATATCGCACAATAGGCAACCTTAAAATACTACCTATGCTGCTAAAATATGTGTAAGAGCCAATTATAATTAATTTTAAGTTCAAAATTAGAATACTGTTTTAATTAATGTTACTTAAAATATGGAAACACAAGAATAACATTAAACTATTTTATCTACAAACACTAGACACCAACAACTTTTCTTGTTACTGCCAATTACTTTTATTTATAAGTTTCTGTCACCAAAGATAATATGCATTTATCAAAAATATAGCTATGACATTTCCTAATAATAATTTGAACAGCCTTTTAATCCTAGCTCCTAGACTATAGCGCAGTTTTAATGGTAAACAGGAAATAGGTCAAAATTAACACAACATAAACATGTCGCGGGTAAAATATTTAAGCATCATATTACATATCGGATTTCTTAATAAAACCAGTAAAATTAATCAAACAGTATTTTTTTTTAATTTCTAGCATGGTATATTGTCACATGTTTCTTAGGATTATTATCATCATCATCACCAACACCACCACGAACTTCATTGTCACCATCATCATCAGCCTTTCTGTACCCACTAATGGACATATGCCTTCCAGAATACCTTCCACAGAATGCGACTTTCCATTGTCTGCATTCAACAACATCCCCTCTTGCGCCTATAGGATTATCATCAAAGGTATAGATTAAAGGGTTGTTTCCAGTTGGACAGGCTTCCTAATTGATTTACACAATAGAATTTTTTCCCACTGAGGCTATTTAATAACCTAATCTACCACGCCATTGGGTTCCATCGGTGAACCCATCAATGGGTTAATATCTGTTGCACTGATAGGCTCACGTTGGGTAATCCTAATGAAAGTGATTACAAATACTGTTTACGTAAATTCTATGAAAAATAGATTGCAATATTTCATCAACTTTACAAAGTTTTCATTAAGCCACTCGATAAAATTAGAAATTAATTAACAGTTATTCTTAAGTACAGTAAAGAGAATTCATATAAATGCTAATTAACATTTCGTCAAGCTTCTATAAATTTATTTCCTGTAAATTACGCAAACTTGGATATTTCTTGGTAAGAATTTAAACAAACTTAAATATTTCTTAATAAGGTTAATCTTAGAAAAACGTTGGAAATGTGACAAGTCACGTTTTTCACAACTTATGTACAGTTGACTTTTAAGTTTGCCTCTATAAAAAATAATAAAAAAAATACCAAAGATAGACTTTATACTTAAGGGTGACATTAGTTTCTCTTTAAGCAAATAAAAGCTTTAATACTACATATATCAATATTATACAAATGCACTACAAATAGAATTAACCAAGCTATGTAACATACTAACGAACTGATTTTGTGTAGACATAGAGGATTATTCCTAGTGTACAGTTTAAATACAAGCTACTCTAATTGGATTAAAATAAATGAATAACTTTATAAACTATGCATACATGTGTAAGACAATATGTTAACATTGTCCAATTAAGAAGAGACATGCAAGCAGTGGGTTAAGTACTGGACATCTATTCTAGAAGTGGGTTTCATCGCAACCATATACCAATGTGTTTTTCAAAATCCGTGATTTGTACATGCACCATTATACTATGTGTGTGACGTCATCGAACCAAGGAGAACAAGGTTGGATAAGATCTTTTCGCTCTTAACATAGGGTAGATTTAAGCTACTTGGACGTAATGGAAGGCGATTTTGAACAAGCTAACGTAAAAATAGGAATACCGGTATAATATAAGTAATCATACATGATCTGTATAAGGACATAGGAACTTAAAATTCTATGAATAATAAATATTTATGATTAGACTTACCTCTTAACGCAAAAAGTTATTGTATAACATAAAATAAGACTAATTTTCTATATGTTAATAAATCCTTTGTCGGTGTCATTACTGAGACAATACTATACTTTGAACATTTCTCTAGGCCATAATAATGTTTATTCTTGATATTTTTAAACGAATAACAAAAAATAAACAAAAAAAGTAAACAAGACAATGACAGTTGACAGCTCCTTATGTCACGATACTTTAGCGTGTCAGCTGTTTGTGTCGACAGCTTAATCTTAGTTTTAAAACCATATGTGGAAACTATGAGACAAAATTGTAAAAATGAAACTTAAAAACGTACCGTATTGAATACCTTAATTTATTGGGCATATGTATGTTATTAATCTATAAATGTTTATATAGCTAGAAATAAAAAATAAAAGATAAAAAATATTTTTAGCCTGTGATCAGTAAAATATTTCAGTTTTAGATAACCTAAAAAATAAAATTGGTATATCTGGAACAGGAACAAAACATAGTTAAAACTGTTTGTTAATTTAAAAAAAACTAATACATAATGAATACCGTCAGGATAATTAAAAATATTCCTTTTCGCCAATGGCGAACATTTTCAAGAAGGTAATAAAACTTATGTAAATACAAACTTTAAGGTTATGTAAATTAGATTGGTTTTCATGCTAATTTTTATATGAGACAAGGATTTTCCATATGCAAGTTTAATGTAATTATTTCTGTATACTTCATTTACGAGATTTCAACATTTGGTTATCATTATTTTCAGTTCTGTTATAAGACAAGAGGTGAGCGAAGCCATCAAACCTATTACCATTCCACCACCTGAAGGTGTTGACAAACCAGCATCACCGAAGATAGAGAAGATCGTAGCGGATATAACAAATCTTAATTTATTGGAAGTATCAGAACTCAGCCAGGTATTGAAAAAGAGACTGAACCTTCCTGATGCACCTGCTATGCCTATCGGTGGGTTTGCGATGGCAGCACCCGCAGCCCAAGAGGAAGAGGAGGCTACGCCCAAAGCTGTTAAGACTAACTTTACAGTGAGTTATTTTACTATCACTTCTTACAACCTATCATATTTAGTAACTATTATTAGGTCCATCTTACCTGTGTTTTAGTCAGCTCAGTTAAGTTTTTTAATTTATATTATTGATATTTAAATATTTCTGGTAAAAATAATTTTGCCAATTAAAATCGACAGAAAAGGCTAAGGCCTACTTGTAACCTTTCTTATGAGAAATTTGTGGTCAGCATTTATTTCAAAAATAATTGCAATGTTTTGCTACAATATCATTAATGTTTCAGGTTAAAATGACAAAGTTTGATGACAAACAAAAGGTGGCGCTAATCAAAGAAGTCAAGAGTCTTCTGGAAGGATTTAACTTGGTGCAGGCCAAGAAATTTGTTGAAAGTGTACCTACAGTTGTGAAGGCCGACATCTCTAAGGATGAGGCAGAGAAACTGAAAGAAGCATTATCCAAAGTTGGAGCTGTTATAGAAATTGAATAGATGTAATTATATAGTTTTAGTTTGTTTAATATAAAGATTAATTGTAGATGTATGACCTTTTATTTATTGTAAACATACTGCTCTTAGTTTTCATAGGCTTAAAAAGGAGAAATAGCAACTGTAGACATTTTTATAAAATAGCACAAAAAAGTCTGAGAAGTTTAAGAGAAGACTTTGAGTCCGTTTTTAATGTGTGACTAGCTAAAAAAAATCAGCTATAAATTTACTGTGGCTCTTTGAAAAAACATTACTTCATTTTTAAGTAATTTTATGTGTGAATAAATTCATTATTATTCCATACACATTAATGTAAATGTTTTGACTACTAAAATAAATTGCGATCTTAAACCTGACATTACTAAAGCCTCAAGTTTATTTGAAAGAGTTGGATTACATTATCAAATGTATTTTTAATAAATAATACTAATGTTATACATGCATAAGTTTAGATGGATGAATGTTTGTTAGAGTTCGTAGCCTAAACAGCTGAACGGATTTTGATGAAATTTGAAGTATTTGATAGCGTGGTAGAACACATAGGCTTCTTATTGTCGCTTTTTGTTGTTTTAATAATTTTATGTAGAGGCAGTCGCGGACGAAAGCTAGTAGGTAATAAAAATACTTAGTTACTTATGATATAAAATATTTAATTACAACTAAACATCACACATATCTATGGTATTCATTTGTATTGCACTTTCGTTATTCAATATTTCATCAATTAATTCTTCTAGACTTGTTTCATCTGGACGCCATCCTTTCTTACTATTTATAATCGCCTGATAATTAGTCGAATTGACTTTTTGTAAAAACACATACGGTTGTATCGGGATCTGTACGCTTTCGTCTATATCTGATAGTTGTTTATCTTCTCGCGGTCTTTTGTTGAGAATATCCATAATGAGATCGCTTTGTGAAGTGTTTGTTATTTCGTCAATGATTAGTTCTCGTAAATCGAACATCCCTCCGTGTGATGGAAATAGTTCGCTACCTAATTCCATATCTGTATCCAAATCTAAATCTATCGCTATTTTACTTTCGATCAAATCCTGTTTAGGTGTAGTTGTTTCTGTCGGAACAAACTTATAATTATCTAAAACCACTTTCAGTTCTGTTACAATCTTATATGCCTCTTCTATCACAGCTACATTTTGTTCTACATCTAAGCATTTATCTAAAACATTTAAGCAACCGATAGCAGACAGATCATTCATTATATTGTCGAGTTGTTGTTTTATTTCCTTGTCATTAAAGACTATAATTTTTCTCTTCTCTTTTGAAAATGTTACGGTTGGGAACTTGCCGTCCATCATGCCACGGTCGAGACATTGTTGCTTGATCGCGTGCCGCCAGAAGTTGAGGGCAGCTAACTGCACCTCCCAGTGCAAATCGTTCAGCGCAACTTTCGCCATAACGCGGAACAAACTGTTTTTAAATTCGCATGTAATAATTTGGTGCAAGAAAATTTCAGTCAACACGTTTGTTGCCTCTTGTCGTACTAAGTCTTCTTGATTTCTTTGTGCTAAAGTAATCAATTGTCCCTGGTAAAATAACAACGGATATTAGCTAATTTAAGAAACCAGAATATACTAGCGTTGACGTAAGTATAAGCTTGTACACGAAGAAGAGGGGTAAGACAAAGTTACGAGTGTTAAAAGCAAAATATGTCATATTTCTCAGTCTCGGTTTTGTCAAAGGAAACGAAGAGAATGACAATATTTTAATTAGTGCTTTAATATAATAGATACTTACGTATAAATTAGGATGCACGTTCTTGACATCTGACCATATCTTGTCGATCTTGGCTGCGGCGGCGAGGCACTGCAGTGCGGTGGCCTGCGCGTAAGGCTCAGAATCGCTTAACGCACTCGTTGCCGCTAACAGCATGAGGTGGTTGGAGGATATCACTTTCTGTAGCGGTACGTACTCTAAAATTGTCAAAATGTTGATTCATGTGAAAAATATTCTAAAATATATCAAAAATTGAATAAGTATTTAATGTATTTAATACTGGGTACTTTCCAATTACACATTCAAGTCTGAAATCTTAGGGCAACTTTTTAATTGATTTTTTTTTTAATAAGATGTACATACTGACAAAGGACACATCGGCACAGCTGAGCAGCAGGCTGAGTGCTGACTCGCGGACCTCCCAGTCCGGATGCTGCATATACTCCTTGGTCATCACGCCGATCTCACTCAGAGAGCTGCCACTGTCACTCTCCACCAGTAGCCTCATGTCCGGGGATAGGAAGTTCCGCACGCTCAAGTTAATCAAGTCTATTGTCTGTACCAAACCCTGAAACATACTATATTTATCATATCATTCTCACAGTCGATGGATCATAAATCTAAATATTTATATCACTAACCTTTGCACACATAACTTTTAGCTTTATCAAATTCAACAGTGTTACTTGAAGACATATAATCTCTAAGGTCTCGTACCAATTAATGTGATGCTCTTTTAAGAGCATTTTTATTGCATCGAGCACCAGACGCAATAATCTGATGTCATCAGGAGATCGCAGCGGAGTTTCAGTTAGAATCAAATGATTACCCACGTCATCTGACATTATGAATGTTTGCAAAACGTAGTACAATCCCTGGTACAGTATACCAGCTGTCGCTTTGTTTAATTGCCCTCGAAATTGAAAAAGATTTTTAACAGTGTATATTGTAACCTGTTTAACATAGGCGGCGTTATTTTGCACGACTCTTTGAAAGAACTCCGCCGATTGAGTAATATGCTCCGCCGTTACGTTCGTCAGTTTAAAAGAATAGTTGTCTATTTCGATGAGTTTAGCTTCGCTACCGCAATATAATGAATGATACGTCCACATGGGAACTACCAAGTGCAACACAAACTGATTTTGAAATTCGAATTTCTTTCCATCTCTTTCGAAAGACCTTCGGTTTTTCGCGCCCAATTTAGCCAAGAATAAATTGCACTTCACAACGAAATCTGCGACGGCTTCCGACATTTGCTTTTCGATCAGCTTTTGCAGCACGTTATTGTATATCGAAGTGATCTCGTTCATAATTTCACTCTCGGTTTTCTTCTTCCGATGGTACGCTTCCAAAACAGCATTGAAGTACAGTTTGAACAGCACCTCGCATAGTATTATAGCCAAACTGGGATCTCTGGTAACGTCTAATATGACTTGAAGATGCGTATCGAAGTTAAGCTGCTGCATTAGGATCGGCGCTATCTTGTAACTTTTCGATAGCTGATCATCAGTGCTCCCTAGCACGACCAACATTGCGTTTAAAGAGGACATCATGGGCGCGTAAACAAACTGTTCTTCGCCGTCTTTTATATCATTCGTAATGTGGTACTGGTTGTGCCTCACCGGTTTTATTATGTACTCGATAATTTCAGCTAAGACATCATCATCTTCGAATTCGATCAATTTCCAGAGGAGTTCCGCGATGAAGTTGTATGCGGCGCGGGCGACGTGCGGCGGGCGGGTGTACGTGCAGCAGCACAGTACGTGGTGCCACATCTTGTTCTCCACCAGCCAGGTGACGCCCGAGTAGTGAGCTATCGGTGACGTCACCAGGTTTATGCTCGCAAACAAAAGGTCCGAGTACTTCGCGCATTGTGAATTGTAACGGCACATGTACTGCAGGAAACGATGAAAACTCAACAAGCCTATTAACTTACTGAATTGAAGTTCATTTTTGTAAATAATCGACACAATTTTAGCGACGAATATTTTCACTGAGTTTGTTTTCACTTCGCAGCCATTGTACGTTTTTAATAAAATTTCAGAGAAAAATGTCGATTCTAATAGCTTGTTTTCAAAACCTAAAAAAGTAAGATTAACATTAAAGCTTTGGCACACTAAAAAAAAACTAAGTTCACACATTTATAAAAACAGCAAGGTAGCAAACCATTGAAATTTTAACTCTATGATTAGACACTATAGATTCAAACTACATACTTGCAATGCAGTTACGGAAGCAACCTTTAGACGATATAAAAAACAAAAAGCCTTAGTTAAATACAAAAGTACTCTAACATGGAATATACACGGAAATTAACATACCGCTTACTGGAGTTTCTTGAAGATACTTTAATATCTTTTCCGCGTAATATGTGTTCAGTTCGAATTCATCTTCGAATATCTTCGCGAAGAACAGCACAAGTTTCTTTTTCTTATTGATCATAGACATTTTTTCATTTATAATTTACGTAGTCTACGATTACACATTTTGTTTGAATCACATCCAATGTGCGCCTTATCATTACCAGATTAACTGTTATCACACAGTTCAACAGATAACCAATTCAGAGTCCATATACATTTGTAAATAATTACATTCACGTTTTAAATTTAAATTATTTATGATTACAAAATCACGTACATTAATCGCCAAATTATTTCTAACTTCAATTTAATTTTAACGAACTGCGAGATGAGAATGATTGCGCATCAAGAAAAATTTCATTAAATTAATTTTATTATAATCTGTGCTACTTCGTTAACATTACTTGCTACAATTTATACAAGTCACAATCGTGATTTTTAGAAAATATGACCAATCAGCTTTCAAAGCACGATAAGTTGTTACGTCGATTTAAGAGTTAACAACGCAAAGACAATACATTACGCAACAAATTAAATCGTCACAATATACACTAAAATATGACGTCACATAAACACCAAAACTAACTCTCCATCAAATATTTAACAAATTATCACATAACACGTATGGAGTTGAACTGATCGTCGCAAGAGTGAGGTGTCCGCGCGGGACGCGGCCGGAATCTTCAAGGACAGTAAATAATAGATTACTAACATGTACTTGTTTGATGTTTATTTTACAATTAATCAAACGACTGGCCAATTTATGTCTGGTTATCAGCGTGTTTTAAAACATCTCTGGATATTGTTGGTCCTTTTGTATGATCAAGATATTCGTCAAATTTGAAATACGCATAAAACCTAGCAGATTGAATATAATCTACTTATTTGATCGATTATCAGGCGCTTTAGGAACTATAAGATTGTAAGGTGTGTTTTGACCGACTTCCCAAAAGAAGTACTCAATTTGTCTGTATGTTTTTTTTATGTGTGTTAAATAACTCTGCCGCTAGTGGACCGATTTTGATAATTCTTTTTTTATCCGAAAGGTAGTGCTAGTTTAAATATACGTTATATAACTTGCATATCTCTACATTCCCAGAAATACCAAGATTTCTCGAGGAGTAGGACTGTACGTAAAAAAACATACAGACGAATTGAAAAACTCCTTTTGGGAAGTCCGTTAAAAATGAAAGATTACAGATTTTTAAATCGTGGTGAAACATCCTATTACCTGCAAGTTTTCTAGTTTTTAAAAAACAATATAAAAATAAAATGCCATAATGTCTTAATTATATTTAACAGTTTATTGTTCATACAGAACATTCCACAACATTTGTAGATAACTTTCAAAACATCAATAACAGTCTAAAGAGTTGATATCTTCATTGATCTCGTAAATTCCAAGGACATCGTCTAAAAGAGATGATAAACTCTTGATACCTTCTCGCCATTTCTTCTTTTGTTCAATAACCGCTTTAAAATCTTTGCTTTTCAAGAACGTTACGAACAAATGCGGTGAGGCGAATTTAAGTAGTTTCGGTTTAGGTTGTGGTTCGTTAACTGACGTTTCTTCATTCTGCAACTTCATTTGTCTTTCATACATCATGGCTAGCAAGTTTATGTCATCTGCGTTCACAATTCCTTCTATAACATTATCTGCATTCGTCGCATCATTTGTACCTGAATTCATATTACTATAATCTGTTAATTTAATCGGACGATCCGTTTCTTCAACGTTCACCATTTCACAATCACCAGATTGAAGAGTTTCAGGTACTTTGTATTTTTCTAAAACACCATAAAGCTCCATTGATATTGAAAGCGCCGCTTCCATAATATCCACTTCTGATTCGTCTTGTAAAAGTTTCACCAGCACAGTCAAGCAACCTATTGAAGCTAGTTCTTCTAGAGTTTTCTGTAGCCTTTTCTGTATTTCCTTTTCATTCAATGTGACAATTTTACGTGAATCCTTGGAGAAAGTTACCGGTGGGAATGTTCCGTCTAACATGCCTTGAGCATTTAACTGGTGTTGTATCACAATCTTCCAGAACCTGAGAGCACTTAACTGCACCTCCCAGTGGAAATCGTTAAGCGCTGTGCAAAGCATACATTCGTATAGCACTTGCTTGAATGCCGGCGTTACTCTTAAATTATGATAGATTTCACAGAAGACGTTACAAGCTTCCTTCCTCACGATGCCTTCAGGATTCTCCACCATTATTGATAGCATCATATGCTGTAAATAAAATAAATGACAGTTATAATGTGTTAACCAAAACAATATTTTTTGTATCATAATGTGGCAAACCAACATTCAGCACAATTCGCCGAAATAGCGAAACAACCACTGCAAACACATACGCCATTTCTGATACTTTGCATGTTCTTAATTGACGAAGGCGAGGTCAAATATAAAGATATTCCCTTCCTATGTGTCTCTTTCACCATCAAATGCAATAACCCTTCCCATCCTTTTCTTACAGTAAGGAACAAGAAGAAAAAGGGGATTTATGTCCCTTTCCTTTAGTATGCACATTCAAAATGCAAAATGCGAATTACTTTTTACGTGTGCCTTGTGGTTAAAATTTAGAAATACACTTAATCTGAATAAACATTCAAATTACGATATGAAAGCATTGAAGAACAAGACAGTGGTAATAAAAGGTGTTCAACTATATACCTGTATATTAGAGAAGTTTGTCTTGAGGTCGCTCCAGATGGGGCAGACTTTAGTCGCAGCGCCGATGCACTTGAGAGCTGACGCGCGCACATAGAACTCGTGGTCGTTGAGTGCTATCGTCACCGCGACCGTCAATAAATTGTTTGACAGGATTTGCTTTTGTATGGGTGGGAATTCTAGAATTTAAAAATAAAAGCGCGTTATAATCTTCTTAAACTCATTGGTATAATTTAACTTTGTCATAAAAATGTTAATTTCCGCAGACGGCTTTAAGTTTCTTAGACAAAAAATGCTTTGAAATAGCACGGAAAGATACCATTGTCTTATAGGAGGAAATCTGACAGAATATCTTTCGGAAACAGAATACGTGGCATTACTAAAAATCATATTTTACATTATTTTTGTGGAACAATCAGTGCCAAAAGCTAGTATCGTCTTGAATTTCAAAATAAATGCAACAAAAACGTACTTATAAAAGATATCTCAGTGCAGACAAGCAGCAATTCTAGGGCGGAGTCCCTAACCTCCCAGTGGAAGTCATGCAGCTTCATGTAGATCAGTTTGCCCAGCTCGTGCATCGCGGAGCCTGGCATAGAATCCATCAGCAACGATAGGTTCGGCGGCAGGAACTTCTTTATAGTTACTGTGATCACATTCAATGCGGTCACTACGAACTGCAAGGTTTTAATTTCAAGTTGTGATCCAATTGTATTAAGTCTTAAGTTATATATTAACCTTTCAATTTCATTACAAGAGTTGGTTACTATATTCAGTGCTAACTATTTGATGGCCAAATCTATCCATCACAGATAAAAACTTTTCCGCTACCGAAGTTGAATAAGAAGATGCAACGTTAGCCAGACTGTTGCCGGATGTTGAGAATGCAAATATTTTACGCTGTATTTAAAAAAGAAATAAAAGATGGCAACAACTGGATAGACTGCCATAATAGTATGTGATTTAAGCTAAATATCCACTGATTACACAAAATATGTTATTCATACCATAAAGAAATTATTTGTCCAAAGTTAGATATATACGTGTCCTGATAAAACATGATTAGAGAGCGGGCTACACGCCTCTATTCGGGAATCGAATACAAATCCCATTTTTATAGTTAAAACTAGCTATCGCACCAGATTCCGTTAATCCTGTATTTTAAAAAAACTTAATCACTAGCCTTAATGTTTTTCTAGACTATGTTTTAAATCTATTCCAAATTTCAACGAGATCCGTTGAGCCGTTTTCAACATACGCAGTAAGAAAAATTCATCCATCGAATTTTTCACATTTGTCTTTGTATACACTGCATTCTAAATAATTTAATTTTAAAAAAGTCATTAAAACTATGTTTAACTCACCTTACAAGTCAAATTTGGCCTTTTTAAGATATGGTATACTAAATTGTACAAACACAGAACTTCGAAGCTTTCGTGCCAGTTGATATTGTACGTTTTCACTAATGACAGTAAACTATCCAGTACGTATGTCATCACAAGGACTTTATCCCCACTGTCTTCGTACGAGATTTCGTTCTTTATCTCCCCGTCGTCGTCGACAGGGTCGTACTGTTTCAGTACGAAGAACAACGCTTGGAAAACTAAATTAGCCTGCTCATTCGTGAAACGATTCTTCCAACAGCTCAATCTTTTGACGCTTTGTAATGTAATCGACAGTACATCAAGCTGTAGTGTGAGGTCTCTCAGAGCGTACGCTGCTCTAGCGGTATGATAGCACATATAATTAAGAAGTTTCACCAAGAACTCATCTACTCTCTCATCGGTGAAACTCGAGGACATCGGCTTACCGAGATTTGCGTATACCAGAGACGGAACAAGGATCATAGCCACTATTTGGTTGTGCAGCTCGAACTTCTTTCCATCCGCCTCAAACATCGCAGGTGCCTTGCCCTCCCATGCCGTTGTCCAAATCACGCTGCACGCGTTGCAGAAATCGAACACCAAAGTCGGAGATCGCCTGTGTATCAGAAACTGAATAATATTCAAATAAGTGGCCCCTAGCTCTACAAAGTGTTCCCTTTCGTATAGATCATTGACCACAATTGGTTGCGAGTGTAAAATTCTCGCCACGCCTACTGCGAACAGTATTTTAGTTATTAGGAGCGACATGTCTTCTCTTCTTATCTTGTCCAACAGAACGTAACAATGTGTTATTATATTCGAATCTTTTATTACGTATTCAATCAAGATGCTACTTCCTTTTCTCAACTCTTCCCCGTTAGTGATGATCGACAGCAACATTTGGAGCATAGGCTCCAGCGTCTTGCTGATTTCTTCCTCATTCTCACTCGTCATTAAATTAATTGACAAGTAATCTGTATCTATTACTGGTTTCATTATGAATTCTAGTACAGTTTTGATTCTGGTAATATTACCCAAATTATTTAACTCCCACATTAATTTGGATGCGAATTTGTACATTTTTCGAACGACGAATACAGTTCTTTTATCATTGCACAGAACTAAAATATGCCTCCAGACATCGCTATCGTATAGCCACATTACTCCAGAGCTATGGTTGAGGAGAGACAACGCCAAGTCCATGTAAGCTACCCTTAAACTAGAATTCATGGTGGGACCATCAATTTGTTTGAACGCTTGTGTGAACATTCGGCATTTGTTAGAAAATACCTTCCCGAAGCTGACCTCTCTTTCGCACACGACCGCAAGTAGCCGTATGAGAAAAACCTTGACCGTGTTGTCATATGTTTCCCATCCATCTAAAGCGTCTATAAGCAACTGTGGCAAGAAAGGTAGAGATTTGAAGTAAGTGACATCTGTAACAATAAAAAAGTGAACGTAAGCATCGCAAGCTACGGAAGTATGAATTAAGGTTAACGCACATTCCGCCATTCCTCTCCCGCCGCCGATTCGACGTCGCTGATCCAGCCGGATATTACAATATTGAGATACATTGTATGTGCAAGCGAGAGGGACATAAACTTTTGCTAACAAATTTATATCTTTATCCCGCTCAATCGATGGCGTCGCGGTTGCGACAGTGAGTAATACCCGAGACAATTGCAAGACGGGGCGGTAATGGTTGGCCGAGGAGTAGAGCAATATGCGATAACCCTTATTCAGCAATCATGTTTAACTTTAAAATTATTTTAAAAAAAAAAAACAAAAAATGATTATGTGTTCTCCCAGACTGTGAAATACACATAAACCAAATTTTATCGAAATCCGCTCCGCCATTTAGGCTACAAACTCCAACGAACATCCATCCATCCATCTAAATTTATAATGTGAGTATGAAGTGTGACGAAGTATGAAAATGAAATATCAAACAAAAAACTCATAAAAACAGCCCTAACTACACAAACAAATATATCCTTAATGATACACAAAAACTTTAATTGGGCAACACTTTGACTCAGCAAAAAACCAGCCAAGCTTTACTATGACTGGCAATTTTCGCTGCATCATTCTTAAACTTTGGTTTGTATTGGTAGAATGAGTCAGCTGTCAATAAACTTGTAATCTAGACAAGCAAATTGTATACCCACAGTTCATTTAATGATGCCACAGCATATAAAAATTTTATAATCATACTAATTCATTATCAACTACTTAATCTATTCTTTTATTTACACGAAACTGATAATATACTTCCGTAATTGTTTCCATTAATAAAAGAAATAAACATTTGAAATATCAAATGCAACAAAATTAACTTTTTCTAACACATCAGTCAAGGAGTATTTACTGATGTGTTAGAGAATTTTATTTAATGGTCAAGTTTATAGTGTTATCTTAATAAACTTGACTTTTGAATAAAATGCAGAGCATAATTTAAGTTTACATTGTCATGTAAAGTATATATGGATTGTTTGAAAGAGGTTGTGTGTAAGGGCGTGAATTTTGATATGAACCTATCATATCATCTCTATAGATGTATGGAAGAGCAGTACAGAATAAGCCGACTCTCTATTAGGACAAGGGCATTGATGGCATTATCCTATAGATTTAGCTAAAATTAAACATCTTTCATTTAGAAGGGAGCACAATACAACATCATTAACTCTCACCCTGAAGAACCCCCGCAGGGTCTGAAACTGGTCAGTGTTGTCACCAAAAAGTATGATGTAAGCCGTAAAATAATTAATCTTTCATTTCATACAACACACACACACACACACCAGAGGCACTACAGCTGCGGGTGGCCTAGGCCTGGTCCAGTAAATTCCTCCATATCGGTCTATCTTTTATACAACACTCTACTGAAATTCTGTATTTTTCCTATTAATTTAATCTTAACTGAACATTTATTAATTAAATAAATATTTTACAGAGTCATCAATATATGTATTGAATGTAAAAATATTACAACACTAGCTTTTTCCCCCAACTCCATCTGCGTAGGATCAAACAAAACAAAATGAATAACCTATGTGATCTTCTGGACATGTATCCTCTACATCTGTACCAAATTTCATGGAATCTGTTCAGCCATTTAGGATACAAACTCAAAAAACATAACATTATAATGTACAAGATGATTGTTAGATATGTAATTTCGAATTTATAACATTAGAATCATTGTTTAATAGTACATTTATTAAATAAAAAAAAATCAGTTATTAACCATTCAGTTGTCCACCTAATCTATTGAGTGGTAACTAAGTCTGGATTTCAAATCAGAGTTGAAGTACCAAATTCAATAAACACTATGTCATCTAGTAAATATTGACAAATGATTAAAAGCACAGGCAAAAGCATAATTTGTGAAATAAGAGGTATATTTATGTTTAATATAATAGTAATAAGAAACTCAAGTTATTCATAAGATAAGGAAACTCTTATCTCCGAATAGTTACTCTAAAGTAACCTCAATCTTTTTTCCTTACACTATTATTTTATTATAAAATTCTTTACTAACCTGGATCCGTGTTGTTTATTTTGATAAATAAGTTGTCTGCATAATAATTATCCATAACATAGTGTGGTTTAAGAATTTTTTCAAACAAAAGTTTAACTTTACTTTGTATCTGAGCATTTTCCATATTTACTGATGGGAGTTCACAAAATAACTAAAATATATACTGTTAATAAATCAAAGCATCATGTTTATTAACTTGCACAATATTTATCACTTAGTTGGAATTATATCGTAGTATAAATGATGAGCATTCAGCAATCAGCAAGTGATTGAAATAAACAATATTTTTGGTTTCTGTTCAGTGTCTAGCACATCAAACGTTATAAATTTCCTTAATTATATTTAAAAGTTTTATTACTTGCGTTCAGACAAACGATCTAGTCACGAGGAAAAAAAATATTTTTTCGTCAAGAACTAACAAAATTAGTTTCGTCAAACATACAACAAAATAATCCTTGAAGGTAAGTATGTACTACCACTGTGTTTACCTAAGAACTCTATCGCCTCAAATATAGCAAAAGTCATAATCTGGTAACATTGAGAGAAAAGTAAATAAAACACTCAAAATTCACACCTTATCAAACGTCAAATCAATGACATATTGACAGATGCGGCAACTGTTTTCTGACATAAAGTTATTTTCCATTATAATATTTTTAATATAATTATAATTATTTACAAAGAGCATCGTAAAACGGTTTAATTAGGTTTGTGAAATAATCTAGACGGAATAACTAATTAAAAAAAATTAAGGGCATGAGATTTTTGGTTTGTGAAAAGTTTAATCAAACTGCTAAGACTTTTTTATTCAACTACAGTTAATTAAATCGTTAAGATTCTTAATCATTGCTCCTTATAAGTACATTAACAAAAAAACTAATAATACACATTACAAAAAAGAGAGTTATTAAACTATCTTTGGAACTTAAAATTTATTCTTGCGTAAAACGGAAAATCGTTGTGATTGTTCTAGAATTGTTAACTGTTCTGTCAATCTTCTAATCTGCTGAGTGTGATATGAGAGATTTTGTTTGCAAATTGTGCTAGTGGAGTGCCAAGTGTTTTTTTTCTTCCATTCATCTAGTAAATATTAATTAAACTGTGTTAATTTTGTATTTGTAAGTGAAATGCCTCTCAGAGGAAGAAGTTTCGTAAGTATCATAATATTGTTATGAAATGTCCATTACGATTTTTTGACTTTTAATTTTCCGCAATTTGTAATCGTTGGTTATACTAATTGTACTAAATTTTTATTGTCGGTTCCTCAAGGAGATGTTTGTTTATATACTGCGCTTTCTATGGTGTTCGCTAACACGATAATTGCATAGATGATTTTCAATTTAGCATGCGTTAGTTGCAGTACATTTTTGGCCGATTTCCAAATGTAGTATCCTTGACTGTGTTAACCCAGGGCGATTAATTATTGTATACTAATCCGGGAAATTTAATGGTATCGCCATGTGGTCTGATTTGGTGGTCTTCCACAGGACAATTGATGCCTGCCTGATTTAACACGCGTCGAGTGCCCTCTAACAGCCTGTTTTGTGAGGTTAGTTTGATTATTGACGTTGTATAAATTTAATGCAGGATTTAAAAGAAAATATCTAGAAAATTCTCGTCCTTCAATAGTAGATAAAAAATATCTTGATGTTTATTTTTTAAATCCTTTGCATGTTTTAATGGTAAGCAATGAAGTAAACATTTTCTATTGGAAGTTATTATGTAAAATATATTAATGTTTTCAATTATAAATTGAGTGTCCCTATGTCTGAATCTGTTTACTACAATGCATTTTTTTTTTTAATTTCAAATAATGTCTTAGAGTTAAGGTAATATTGGAATAGGTGGTAATAAACTTTTGAGGATCAGGGTGTAACATATTACTACTAATTCCCAAATAAAAATCTACTAATGTTGATTTTACTCTTGAAGTTATTTGATGTTGAAAATTTTTATTGTGATATTAGGACATAAATGTGATTTATCAATATAAAAGAAAAAATATTATGGTGGAATGCCAGTACTATGAATCTTAATTTATCTGAAATGTGTGGCAAATTTTAATATTTCATCAAAGATACAATACAAGCAATTGTTATGTAAGTAATGCCATATACAGATCTGCTTAGATCTTCAGTCAATAATGCTAGCTTTAAACTGGTGTGTTAGACAATTAGTGCATTGCTTGAAGCAGTCCATATGTGATCGTTGATGTTTAGCACAATAACATGAATCAACATTTACACCAAAATTTGTTTGAATTAGATATTTTCAACTGTTCTGTTCATTATTGCGAATAATCTTATTTAAAATTGTAAATGCTATGTTTGTTAGAGTTTGCTGCTTTCACGGATGAATGGATCATGATGAAATTTCTTATAGATATACATCAAAGTCTAGAAGAACATGTAGGATTCCTATTCTTGTTTCTTTTTTTAATTCCACATGGATGGAGTAGCGGTCAAAAGCTAGTCTTTCTATGTTGTAAACTTATTTACTTACAGTAGCATTAACTGCGGAGTAACGGACTAATCAGCAAAAGAATAACATTCATAAAGGAATAATTTGAATATTTTAGTGTTTTAAGTGATGGGTAATTTTCATTGTTTTGATGCTTTGTTATTTTATCGCGCGTCAATTTGCGTCCTTGGCGTTTTTCTGAGAATAATTGCCGCGGAGGTGATTGTGTCACTCGAATTCCGAAGTCTCATTGTTTACCTGTAGTGAGTTTACATTGTACACTTGTCAACATATGCATGTTGTAATGATACATTTGTTCTATATCATGAGACAATTTGTACTCCACATGCCTTTGTTCAATAATCCATAGGAAAAAACAGCATATGTATGATTGATTATCCAATGTCATTATTTAAGTAAGCAATAATGGCAATAGTGTGTTAAAAAGTAAATTGTTTTGTTTGGTTAAAATGAAATTAAAAAGCCCGTTGCAGACAGGAATTTGAAATTATCTATTTTAATCTTCTTTTTATCACTTTTTTTTACAAAATTGATTACTTTTTTTTAATAAATATTAAAACTTTGTATAATGTTATTTATTTATTGTCATCGCAGATCCATCAAGAAGTAAATATAGTTCTGGAGTAAAATAAAAAGCGAGATCTCAGATAAATATTATTTTGAACAAAAACACTAACTGCTATCAGCTGTTGTATTAGTTTTTACTTGTATCTGAAATTCCTTGTAAAAAATTTTGGTTATGAAAACAAATTAATATACAATATAACTTATTTATCAATTAAAAGTTTCTGGTGATAAAAATATCTGAACATGCGATATTGATAACATATATTAAACAGATTGCAATCAATCTAGTCCATATTAACTATCAAAGCCAACTATAAAATGTCCCTCAAGACATTAATAAATATTTTATTTAATGGGATGCACTGATAGATTTGGGGGACAAAATCTAACAATTATATAAAACTAGCTTTCGCCCGCGACTCCGTCCGTGCACAACTAAAAAATAAAACAAATGCAAGTAGCCTATGTGTTCTTCCAGACTATCCTTTACATCTATGGCAAATTTTATCAAAATCTATTCAGTAGGCTACAAACTCTAACATCCATCTAAACTTTTGCTTTTATAATATTAGTATGATTATGTTTAAAAATGCTTCAAGTGGTACAATTTTATAAGTTTAGGTCGAAAACCTTTTTAGTATATACAATTAACATTAAATAACAAAAATAGATTCAGCAATTTGATTTTAAATAGGAATATAAAAATTGTTCTAAACATAGTTGTATTTTGCTAGTGTTCATTAGTATGTATTTATTGTAGACAGTAATCATTCAACTGACAATAATCGTGAAGTAATGCTCGCTGTAATCAATTACGAAGAACGTGATTGGATTAACCAATCATTCAATATTCAAGCAATTCAAATATTCAATTCAATATTCAAAATTTAATTATGGGCCAATACCCTAATGGTTTGGGGTACGGACTACCGATCTTGAGGTCGAGGGTTCGAATCCCGCCATCCGACAATTGTCGTATAACCATATCCTAGAACAAGCCTAGAACTTAAAGGAAATATTAGTAGATTAACAAAAATCTGCTAAAATATTTATTTTAAAAAAAGCTGATTTCAGACTAAGTCAACTAAAAGTTGGATGTTTTAAATTGTAATGGTATGCCCTTTGAAAAGAGAATTATTTTAATCAGTTACAGATATGTAGAGCAATGCAATTCCTGTAGAAATATTATGTATTAATGGCATAAGGTCTCTTAACAAATTATGAAGTCTTACTGATTTGTTGTTTTTTTTATTTACAATATATCATTGATAATAAAAGTAGTTTTATGGCACACAGTAGTTAAACTAGTTTTATTAGAAAATAAAACATTTACAGCTCGCTAGTGTATTGGAATTAACGATTACTATTTCGTTATGTGATTGAATGCATTGGAATAACCCAGTTTGCTGGACTAATTAGGACCTTCCTATAAAAGTGCGGATTGAATAATTGAATATTAAATAGTGTTCTATTTGCGGTTGTATTCTTTGAGAATGGCATTTTGTTATTTGCATTCTTGCCAGCAATACATAGTCTGCTTTATAGTGATTGGAAGTTTACTGGTAGTCTATCCACTGTTGTTAAGGATCTTGTCTTTGTTTATTAAACTCTGGATTGCACAAATCATCAGTCTATATTAAATCTATGGCATTACTGTGCGATATGGAATTTTCTAATTGTGACGTCATCGTTTTGGTTTTATAGTGAACTAGCTTTCGTCCGCCACTTCTGCACGGAATTAAAAATAATGCGTTTTTCCAGAATATCCTGTACATCTATGCCAAATTTCATCAACATTATTCACCTAAACTTTCGCATTTATTATATTAGTAAAGTATGATTATGAATTTAGAGTAGAGAGAGATGTATAGGTAGACCTAGGAAGAGATGGATGGATTACGTGAAAGGTGACAATCACAAAGGGAGTGATGACTGAGATGACGTATGATAGAGTTATTTAGAGGATAAAAACCTTGTGCCTCTACGGGAGTAGAATAAAGAGGATGATGATGAGTATAATTATGAAATTCGTTACATTTCCTTTGTCTCAGTAGCCGCGTGTGTACGTATTGGACTTGGCACGTCTGAGGACGTTACTCACTTGTTTACCTAAAACACGCTGTTTCATTGATATCTCTGTACTCAGTTCTGCCGACACCCGACGGATTTTTGCTCATGTCGCTATAAAAGTATTTTAGGTCAATTTACGTATACATTTAATGATACGCTTGAACTTGTCTTTTTTGCTGTAATTCTTGGAATACAGCCAGTTTAGAAATTAAATACAGATTATAACTAGTTGATATTTAGAGCGTTTGTGTTTTTTTTCTTGGAATTGTTGTATTCTGTAATAGTCTTATCTTATTGTTGTAGAAAAATAGTAAATTAAAGATTAAAAAATTTTCTGATAGAAAATCTATTGTATG